TAATACAGTAGTATTCCGAAACTAATGTTCCTAGGGTCTGTATTCGGAAACTTTTATTCTGAAACTACTACAGATGTATTCGGACACTAATGACAGGAACTAATGATCCACCATGTCCTCGGCACCAAATGCCTTTTTCCGCTCACATGCATGTGAGTTCTATGCAGAAGCTTTGTCCACACGCCAGCCTTTGATGAGGTTGGCACTCATCGACTTCAGTGGAGCTGGAGTGTCGTCCGAATCCAGATACGCTCGACATGTGAGATCTTTTCTCCTCTCTATTGCGCCCAATGACAATGTGGTGAAGCACCCGAATTTGAATCTCGACGTGGGCTCACATGCACAGGTCCAGACGAGGTCGCAAGTACGTTTTGTTAGTTTCCAAGAACATGCATGAATTTGCCAGAAAGAGTGGCAATTTCGAATTGTTCTGGTGGAAAAAGAAACGTGTTGTTCAGAGGGGTGGCAAGTTTGTTTTGTTAGTTGTCAAGAATATGCATGTATTTGCCAGATGGGGGTGGTAATTTTGAATTGTCTTCTTGTAAACATGAACGTATGGTCCAGAGGGCGTGGCAACTTTGTTTTCTAAGTTGATAAGACTATGCATGCATTTGCCAAATACGGTTGCAATGTTGATGTGTCAGCTGAGGGCTGGATTAAGATTAAGACATGACTCATGCATGTACTTTCTCATTTGTTTCGCATTGACGAATCATTTGTTTCCGATTAATAAATTAGTTTCTGAATCCGAACACATTAGTTTCTGAATCCGATTTCCTGAATCCGATTAGTTTCTGAATCCGATTAGTTGCTGAGTCCGATTAGTTGCTGAATCCGACCATATTAGTTGCTGAATCCACATTAGTTGCTGAATCGGTGTTTGTTCTTGGTGAATATTGATGAATATTCAATATCAATTATTGGTAATATGGTAAGTAATTGGTAATTCACAATATTGGTAATGAATATTCAACCACTACATTCACCAATTATTGTGGTTATTCATCAACAATATTGAAGAGATTTGAAGAGTATCCTGTGGTAATGGTTGAATATTACCGATTATTCACATTTTTTTTATCAATAATGGTGATGAATAACCACAATATGGTTTGGGAACCTAAAAGATGGTGAATGATTGGTAATGAATATAGAGGTTTCCTAAAATAGGAGTACCCCTAAATCATCCATTTATTGATGGGATTTTCCATTATATATAAACAATCTATAAACAATCTATTTTGGGGTACCACCATTTATGGAACCCCGAAATAGAAATCAACATTCCAGACCACCAGCTAAGGTATTTACTATGGCTACAATCCATCTAGCACCAAAACTCAAGTGAAACCCGTAGAGAAATGTTACAGTATAAACTGACATCGATGGATCTAATCCAATCCCCCATATACCCTCTGGTAATTTGTTACATAGCTATTGAAAATGGCGAAATAGTTGATTTTCTCATTAAACATTGTGATTTTCCATAGCTATGTGACAGTTTACCAATGATGCTCCAGATCCTGTCATACCAGTCATGGTCCTTGGACCCAACGTTTGGTGCACCGATCCAGGTGGTGCATAACCTGGTTGTCCATACACTGGGACCAATCGAACCCCCTCGTGTACATGGCGGCTTCTGTCGTCAGGAACCGCACCATCTTCATAAACTCACAAAGGAGAAACGCGATCCCTTCCAAGGTTTCCATGAAGCGTCGGACCTGCTCCTTCGCTTCTACCATCAACTCGCAGTCGCCGTCAACCAGAAGCTTGGAACACTTGCTGCAGGTCTTGCACACGCTCTGAGAAGAAGGTGCAGAGGTGGGAGTTCGAGACCTCCAACGATATGGCCCGCTTGTGCCGGGTTCACCAGCATAGGAGCTGCAACTGCTGATGTCACGTGAGAGGGTACAATCAACTGATTGCTTCAAAAGAACATCAACAGGCAACCTTTTTTTTCTTCATGGTAAAATCCATGGTTTCAATTCATTTCACAAAACACATCTAGTAGCATCATTGGTTACAAAATGGTATACCTATAACACCCCCAAAAAAATATCAGAACAGCTATATGTTTCACTAGAATCTATTTTTTCCAACAGTTTTAGAACATGTTTTCACTAGCTAGTTAGGATTCAGGATATGTTTTACTTAAGTTAGGTAGTTTTAGAAGTGGTACTTTTGGGGCCCAAAAAACCCTTGAACCCCCCCATGGCCAATCGATCACCCAGCAACGCGTTTCTGTTGCAGAGCCAAGCGCATGTCCGAGGACATACTCCGTGGCACCTGAGGACGCTGTGAAGGGTGGCATGGGACCCCTGTAGCCTCTATTCCAAGGGGTCTAGCTGGAAAATTCATGAAAATCCTCTATAAATGCAAGGTGGTGCCCCCGTTCGATAGCTAGGTTGGTGCCAATAACTTGAATAACTATGGTTAATAAGTGATACATCTATAGTTAATGGGTTTATAACCAGCTTAGAACTGGGGGGGCACCGCCTGTCAAGGTTTCAATGGGATGTTTTTATGGACAAACATTGATAGGTAGGGGATTTCCTGTTATGATTGATTAGGGCAGGACATATCATGGGATTTGTCTGGATAATTTACCAGCATAGCCAACCTGTATACAAACATTTTTCATGGTGGTGCCCCCCCCAGTTATAAGTTGGTTTATAAACCATAGTAAGTATAGATATACCTACCATAAACCATTGTTATTGGAGTTAGTGGCACCAACTTAGCGATTCTGAACTGGGGCACCACCTTGTGCAGATATTTCATGGGGGTAAAATTGAGATAAATGCAGTGGATGTTCTGGGATATGATTGGGATCACCAACACATGCACCGGGTAACCTATAGCCTTAACTAACCACCCTTTTCGGGATGGTTATGTAAAAACCACATGCTCTTTGGGGAAAACTGAGGGACATTTAGCACGGGATATAACTGGGGTATAATGCGGATATTTTCTGGAAAAATAATTGGGCGCTCTCTCTCTCTCTCTATATATATATATATACGGCTGGGATACCAGTACTATGATGGGTGAAAATGAAGCAAATTGATTTATGTTGAGATAAGAAGTTCCGAATATTTGGCTAAACCCTGAAAGCGCCGCTCAAAATACGAACAAATCTAATAGTAAACCACTGTTTTTGAGGATGTTATCTGATGTGCGTAGTACTAGATAGCTGGGATTAAAAAGGGCTATGGGTCATACGAAACTAGCCAGTATAGCTGCATGTCTGTCCTTCACCCCAACATACGGTATAGTCGGTTTCGATCTATACCGTCTATACCCATGTCATATCATTGGAAGATAAGAAAGTAAGTTGGTTTAGGGATGCTAATGGTGGATACTTCACGATATATCATGATATATCATGATATATCTATAGTCACCAAGTCAGATGAGTTTGTCTGACAAAAATATGATTAATCATTATGGTCCCTGTCAAATTGGCATTTGCAACAAAAGTGGGCTATTCAAACAACATGGATGTATGATGTGGATATCCAGACTACAAGTTTTTCAGTTCCCTTGTTTTAAAGTCACATCTTTATGATTCATGGCTTTCTCGGGGCCCTCAGAGAAACCACAAGAATAGATGTGACGGAAAAACAAAAAAAAACAAAATGGCAGAACACCAAGCATTGACCAAGCAAACCATGATCTATCCATGTTACAGGACAAAAAAATCTTTTTTGGTCATCTTGGGTAGCATTTCTTGGCGACATCAACAGGCATGACATGTCCGTGCCAACGTGCCAGCGGCGCCTTGTTGTAGATGTAAATGCGATGAAACCACTCCTTCGCGGCGCTGCTAAATGCTGAGCTGCATACAGCTGCTGTAAGCCTGAAAAAAAAACTGGTTTTTCACTCCCAGTCAGTCAAGATCCCATCGAAGATATCGTAATATGTCCTTCTTGAAAGGACATGTAAAGCTTTGGATTCTTCAGCAATTTGTTTGGTTGGGCATCAATGTCTCCTCATTTGTCCTTGCCTCTACATTCAGCACACAAAAAAAGGAGCAATACTCAAAGAACGGGCTTCCCCGTTCATGGATTCTGATGATAATCCCCAATAATACCATATATTGGTTTGTATAGTCCCCGAGTTTCTCATCAACCAAATGAGGTTTTCCCACTAAATCACCAGAAACCAACCATGAGGTAATTCCAATTTCATAAACCTCCATTGGGGATGGTGACTATTATTGGATTTACCACATCATTTTCTATTGGTAACCATATTATCCATATTGATCATTAATGGTTATTATAGTAATAACAATGAACAACCATTAATAACCATTAGTGATCAAATATGTACTATAATAATAACCGTTGCATAACTAATTAATGGTTCATTGTTATTACTATTGTCATTAATAACTGCATTGCATAACCAGTTGCAACGCCCCACAAGGTACCGGTGGTGGTCAGATACGGTGCTCACCCTACCGGCCACCTCCAAGGTGTACTGTCGTACACGAATGGTGAAGCGGTTCCTCACGATGTCCGGTCGCCCATGAATACCGGAAGGGGATGGGGGATTACAATGGGATTTAATGGGATTATAATGGGATTTTTGGGGGATTTTATGGAATTGTAAAGGGATTATAATGGGACTGTAATGGAAGTCTAGTGGGATTTTATGGGATTACAATGGGATTTAATGTGATTACCATGGGGGCTTGAACATGCTTTGACTGCTTACCCTCTGGTAAACGTTTACATAACCAACTGGAAAATCACCATGCTATTAATGGGTAAATCAACCATTTCTATGGCCATTTTCAATAGCTATGTTTGTTTGCCAGAGGGTAGTCCAACTGTGGAGAAAAACATCGGACAAATCGTGCAAAAAAATGAACATCATCATTCACCAAAGCAGTTCCTGTTGAAAAAGCAACTACCCTCTGGTAAACATACAAAAAGCTATTGAAAATGGCCATTTATAGTGAGCTTTCCCATGAAAAATGGTGATTTTCCATAGCTTTTTGTATGTTTACCAGAGGGTATACATCCTGTGCCAAGCATTGCCAATCTCACCTGATCATCGTTCACGTAGTACGACGTACAATCAGAATCTCCACATCCAACGGTAAAATCACAAGGTCCCATATCGGAGCCAGTGGCAGTTTCAAATCTTCACAGAGGTGTCGCATATCATATATATATATGATTATATATGATTATATATGATTATATATGATTATATATGATTATATATGATTATATATGTATAATATTTGTCTGCTTATGTATACATATGATATGCAGTTTTGTGACGTGGAGTTGTTCCGGATGATCCTTCTTGAGCCCAGCCGCTTTTGCTCATGGATCAACCGACTCTTCTTCACTGATGGGCCTTGGGCTTTGTTCAAACAATGATCTTTCCATATCTATTGAATATCTATGGGAAGATCATTGTTTGATAGTATTACTTTCCATATCTTTCCTTTTCGATATTGGATATCAAACAATGATCTCTAGATATTGGATATTTAGTTATTGATACTTATTAATAATGTGCTGCAAGTCGTGTACTTCCAGCTACGGTAAATCCTCATTTTTATTGGAACGTCAGAACATCACTCCCAAAAAGAATGGTTCAGAACGCCATTTTCCACAGGGTTCATGAAGGTGACCAACAACAACTTGGTTCCCCTAACTCAGTGGTTGCCTGGTTTGACATCATGAAAAAGTGCTACGTTGCCTCAAGATTTCACCATCTTTTCACGGAAAAAAAATATGGTGAATTATGGTGATATAATCATTTTATCTTAACCAGGATCTTTTAAGCCCTATAGTTGACTACCGGGGGGGATACTAATTGTAAGTAAGAGTACATAATTTATCACTATCTCAGGGGTAACCCTCCAATTGACCAACAGAGTATCGACCATTGCGGGGTTGACCATTGATCATTTTACCAATTTCCTGCCTTCATAGGTGACAATGAAATGAACCAGTTAACATCCTTGGTGGTGCGCTCCAGGAATCGTCAGTCACTTCCTTTGCGCCGACTCCGTGGATGACATCTCGCCGTGCCCTGAATTTGCCTCACGTTGTCCCTGCTGGATATGGTTTTCTTGGTGTGGAACACTGGATTGTAATACATGACTGGTTGGTGGTTTTAACCATCTTGAAGAATATATTATATAGTCAATGGGGAGGATTATCCCAAATATTATGGAAAATAAAAAATGTTTGAAACCACCAATCAGATGAGCAAGCTGTTGATCTGCTCTTTCACTGATATGTCAGTGCACCACAGAGGTACCAGATGAGCCCAACGCCAAGTACTGATTGAGTGGAGAAATCGCGTCGGTGACGCCAAGCTTTGCAGCTCATCCCAGGGATCGTAAGTAGGTTAGTTCATCCTAGTCCTAGTCATAACTGGATTAACCCTACTTATCCCACTGAAAAAAACCAGAGTGAACTAACCTACTCAGGATTCGTGGATAGTTCGCCAGTAGGGTAAGTATTCTCATCCAATTACGAGCTAGCTCAGCTAGCTCAGCTAGCTCTGAAACCATCAAAGGAAACCATCGAACTAGGCTTCAAACACGTTTCTGCATCTATATCATCTATATGCAAGTTTCTTCAAAATAGGGGTACCCCCCAGGGCCCCCCCCAGTCATCCATGTCAACTCGGATCCATGAGATAACCCCCCATCTAACTTTTAGGTGCCCCTAATCGCCAGCTCCAAAAGAAGGGCTGCAACGGTTTCCAACCAATCTTTGGGAGCAGCCATTTATAGTGGATTTACCCATGAAAAATGGTGATTTTCCATAGTTGTGTGACAGTTTACCAAAGGGTACTTGTCCAGACTGCAATCCCATTATACCCCCACATAAACACCATATTTCCCCATGAAATAACACTCCAATATTGCAGCATTATCCATGATTATCATATAGATGACTATACAAAAAAAAACAGAATTCAAGGGATGAATTAATCAATTGTACTCCATATAATGTGGGTAAAACAATGTCATAAACCATCCCCCAGTCATCACCATTTTTATGACGGTAGTATGGTTACCATTCCCAGTCATGGATGGTAAACATGACATTGTTTTACCACCATTTTCCCCAGAGAATCTCCCTGTTTCCCGAAAACCAGGCGTCCTGGGGCTCTTCATGATGCCGTAGCGCCCACGGCTGTGTTTCCGCAGGTTCTTCACGTAGAACCTCGAGCGCGAGAGTCGTTCGAGGCCGTGGAAATCTCTTCATCTGGTGATATTTCTTGCGAAGATGGTCGTTAAATCATGCGGGTTGCTCCAAACACCCCAGGTAGAAGGATTTTTTTGGGTAACAATATCAATCTACCCACCTGGTGGTTATGATTTACCTATGCTGGAGCCCTGATCATTGGATTAAGGCCAATATAACATGTTATAGGGGTTTAATTGACCAGATCCAATATGACCATCTATGACCAATATAGCAATCATTTATCCTCAATTGACCCGATCATAGGGGTTTAAGGCTTAAGGGAACATGTTATAATGGAACGCCCTATATCTGATGGTCAAAAACAATGGGTTCCTGAGGATCTTCCCGCCGGCCAATCCAATGACAAGATAGAGGTATTTCATGGGGATTTAGTCAAAAACCTTGGAAGATGGTGCCAGCCCCAGTGAAACTTGGCTTATAAACCATATATATATATATATATATTGGTTGTATCTAATATGGACATATATCAAATATTAGATATTTAGACATATTCACTATTATAAACTTGGTTACTTTTTATATATCTTGGTGTATAGTAATGAGATATATTCGGGTAAATTATAATATTTCACTAACCTGAATGGTTGGGCCATAAAAGGGGATGATTCATTCCCCCCTATAAAAACCATGATTCCAGGGCTCGGGAGAACAGGGTTCGATCGCAACATCACCTTGTGGGGAATTTTCGTTCCAGGCACCAAAGATGAAGTAAAGTCGCCATGGAATTGGGATTGAAACAGTGCCAAAGAACTTTTGAAGTATGTATCATGTATATATATATATATGTTATATGTATAATATATATATATACACTTTACTATGATGTATCACAGTGAAGTATATCCAAATACTTGCTGCTGATTTCTCATCTTGCACCCTTGAGAGGCACCAGATTTTGCATCTGCTGGGCCCTCAAGAAGGGGCTCCCCATCAATTCAGCTCCTATCTTGGGAACCCCCACTTTCCTCACTACTGGGGACTCTGACGGAAGCCAAACAGTTTGCTATCATGTGGGTCCCCAATGAGAAACTCCATGACAAATATATATATATATAGATATATATATATATATATATTATATTATATATATATGTACAATATATGTAGATAGATCAAGGTAGTTCAAGTTTGACAGAGTAGACTTCTCGTATTCTGGCAACACTTTAGATTGTGCATTGTTCCCGATTCTATCCACAAATCATGGTTTGTTTCCCCATTTCGTTTGGTTCAATACCCACAACATCACATTGTTTCTCAATATATATCCTTTTTTTTCATGACAAAAGCACTATTTTGGTTGATGATATACCCTAATTAAACCATACGCGAAGCCATGTTCATGACAAAAACACCATTTATTGATGATAACACCAATATAAAACCACCATGTTCATCCCGTCAATGGATATCTCCATCTCCTGCGCCCAGTTGTGCCGCTCCGAGCTGCCCAAAGCCGGGCTGGGGATCGTAGATGTAGGTCCGCGCCAGATCCCAACCCCGCCTGGCGGAGCGTTTCTGTTTTGCGGCCCTGAAAATAAGTTGTTTATTCAATGGGAATTTCAAGTACTTAAAATTGGAGAGCTGACCCCATGATCCTCCCTTCTGTAAAATTGAGGTACGTTAGTACCATTTTTCAGGTCATATTTTGTGGGGATATTCCCTGAAACTAAGGCCTTATATAGACCTTATATATGGTAGGTACCTCCAATTTAGGTTCCTGAAATGGCCATTGATTGTTTATGGCTTACATTGTTTATGGGGATGGGTCAAAATGGGGGTTTCCATAAATGGCGGATACCCAATAGCTGCATGGTGTATCAACATGGATCAATTAAATATGGTTAATCAACATAGGTCCACAACAAAATATGGATAGATCCACAATATTCCATAATAAACTGGAGTAATATGTATATTATGACAATAAGATAAAAAATATGATCTGTTGTTGCTGTTGTTGTTGTTGTTGTTGTTGTGGTTGTGTTGTTGTTGTTGTTGTGGTTGTTGTTGTTGTTGTTGTTGTTTATAATGTGGTTAAAACCAGACGGTAAATCCACCCGTTAAACATGAACAATGATGATTTAACTATTAAATATGATGATTGAACGGGTTATAAATGGGAGTAATGAAAACCATCCAGTTATAAGTGTGATTTGTGTAGGGTTAATCCACTTATAACTGGGATGAACTAGCCCATTTACTATAATGTGGTTAAAACAATGTCATAAACCACTCATGACTGGGGTAACCATACCACCTATAAACATCGTGATGACTGGAGGATGGTTTATGGCAGTGTTTTAACCACATTACGCCAATTGAGCAGAGTTTCATTGAAGTTTCGGTGCATCCTCATTCCAATAGAAAATCTGATTGGTGGTTTCAACCCCTATGAAAAATATGAAAGTCAATTGGGATGATTAGTCCCAGTATATGGAAAAAATAAAATTCATGTTCCAAACCACAACCAGAAATTGTCTGAACATTGACCCCTCAACCCACTTGTGTTATCGTAATTTTCACTGGATCCCCCGTTGAAAAAGACACTGCCAATATACACACGTATACCGTATACACATATCAATCATATTTTTGGTGATATACCCATATAATGTGTGTATATATATATATGTAATATATATATATGGATAAACTAACGATAATAGTTCACCAGTCACTCATCCGAAATCAGGATAAGTAAGGTTATTTTACGATAGTTACCTCTACTAGTCATCATTCCAGTGAAGGCGTAGTGAGGTCCTTATAATTTGTCCATATACATATATATATATTGTAATTAGAATATATTGAATCCCTAAAAACATTATATAGTAAGCACTATTCAGCCATTGATCTCTCATTGATATCCCACATACTATATATATATATACATACTATATATATATATATACATATATATATATATATCATGAATTAATATCACCATGAATATCACCGTCAATATATAAAATCCCAATATATAGTATATAATGTATATAGATATAACATACATACCAACATATCCTCGTTTGATCCTCAAAACAACACTCCAAGCACCAGTTGCCTGTCACGACATTCCTCCATGGCCTGATGGTTGTTTTGCACAGGGGGACCATCGCACGAATACGAAGTAGGTTATATCCCTGGTTATTTTTTTTGTGGGAAAAAATACGGTTAAAAGTTGGATAAGTACAGTTAATATCAGTTAATCCACATATGACTAGGGTTCTAATCTACTTACTAAGCAGGATGAGCCACCATGTAGGCTTAAAAAAAAAACAATTTATGGTGTTTTTTACCGTTGATTCCAACGGGGATGCATACGAGGATAACCACGACACATTCATTGGGGCATTGGGGAACCCAACCATGTTACAGTATATGGGCTAAATATCTGTTGATAATGGTTGCTACAAGTGTTAACAAATAACCATTATCACCAGATAAATCAAACATGTTGATTATCTGTTAATAAGGCCTATTCAGATTATAAATCCAACATAAAACCAAAACAAACATGTAGACATATAATTGGAATGTCTCCGTACATACATGCATGTACAAAATATACATATGATATAGTTACAAGTATGTCTGAAAATACTGGACAATACGGCCCCGCATTAATGTTGTTTTTTAAATGACGACTAACCACTGGATGGAATGGGGTATAGACAAACCGGGTCCCAGCCGACAAAATCTGAGCAGTGCGGTAACGTGAATGTCTGAGAACATCCAAGTACTTTCAGGATTTCGAAATTCAAAATCCATCACTGATTTGCCACCAATTTAGAAAACTGTGTTGGAAGGTCAAATTTTCCTGCTGCAGATGGTCCGAAAAGCGATCATCCAAACATTGAAGTCAGGCATGAGGCACAATTCATTTTCCAAACCCAATTTACAAACCGTCTTTTACACTTGATCAGTCATTGATACGCTCTTGACAAACCATTTCCCAAGCATGCTAAAAAGCGTCATCTGCACAATTCACGGATTTTGTAGGAAATCACTGGGAGGATTATCGAGGTAGTGAAAATTATTATCATGCTTACTGGCTGGCTCGTCCCACTTACGAAATGGCTGACTTCACCCCAGTTATAAATGGGATAAGTAGGGTTAATCCACTTATAAATGGGGTGAACTAACCTATTTACTAAGTGGGATGAGCCACCAAGTATAATACCCGAAAAATTAGCAGAGCACTACAAATGAACTAGTTGCGATGTCCAAACATTGAGGAGGAGACAAACAAACCCTATGGTTAAGCATCAATTTGCTATAACCAATGCCATACTTGGGGTATATCCCATTTTCAGACAGGCCAAATATATCATATTGTTGTAACTGTTGGCTTTATTTATCTATGTATCCATATCTATATATCCCGTTAAATCCTGCATCAGAAACAATGGGGGTGGCCATACATTGGGGCTGCATTTTCAGACGTCCCCATAGATGATTTTGTTGTGTATATATATATATGCATACATACATATATCCTGTATGGGGACGTCTGGAAATGTGGATAATTGTATACTGTAGATACATTTGATGTAGATATATGATATATATTTTGATGGTTAGATATATGTATATCTACAGTATACACATACATATATCCTGTATGTCCTGATGATGTCCTCACGGAAAAAACTCACCTTCATAGACTTACTAACCTCTGGTGTCATCAAACATAGCAATGGAGATTCCCCATGGACCCGTCGATGATTTTCGCGAACGAAACCTTCATGAATCATCATTTATAACCCCACTTTATAACTAAGCCACTCGTTTTAGACAAGGGATTTATAGTGGATTTAATGGGATTTATAGTGGTTTTAATGGGATGTATAAGCTGGTTGGTGGTTGAGCCCTACCCCTCCAAAAAATGATGGAGTTCGTCAGTTGGGATGATGAAATTCTCAATATATGGAAAAATAAAATGTTTCAAGCCACCAACCAGCAAGGAACTTTCCATTTCCATGTTTGATGACACCAGAGGGTACAGTAGTCATAATTTTCTCCATTCAATGGCGATGGTACAAATGGCCTATCTTTCGATGATTTGCCCTCCAACATTCACAGTTCGATGTAGTTTTCCCAGCTTTAGAGCTCCATTTATCTGGGTAAATCAAAATATTTCACTAACTTGAATTAAGGCCATTTGGGGATGATTTCCCTATAAAAAACCATGATTCCAGAGGGAGAACAGGGTTCGGTCGCAACATGATTTACCCTAGATGATGTGGGTTTGTCTGAAAATAGGGTATATTCCCAATTATAGCAATGTAATAGGGATAATGATCATTAACCATTGGGTTTAGGGGTACACTATTTTCAGACACACCCATGTCCCTATAAAAACCTCCATGTTTTTAAGGGGTCCCCTTGACCCTAAAAGCCTTCTCCAGGAGCTTCAGGATGGGTTCCGACTTCATCCGCGCAAGCCTGAGAACTTTTTCGTCCATGTACCCATGTACCCCATTTTGCTAGGAGTCCAATAATATATATATATATATATAATTATATATATATATATAATTATATCATATTACATTATGTGATATTATATTACAATCACATATTGTATAGTCTATACAACATGTACACAGTGTATATGTATGTTTACAATTAACATTCACATTTTTTGATGTTAAATTTTCAGCTCCGAATATCGTGGCGCCTCATGGTTTTCCCTTGACTTTTTTTGTTGCCAAAGATGGATCCATGCTTGAGATGTGAGCTGAACAAAACATACAAATAGGATATCAGTATCATTCACTGAAAATTGGGATGGAATGGGATAAAACAACAACTGTTGGTTTTTATGCACGGACTAACAATATCAAAACATTTTGGGTGTTTTGAAATGTGGTCATCAGAGATGAATAGCCAAGACTTTTGGGGTGATTACCTTCACTATACATCATTTATGGTGAGGTCACTCTTCCACCTTCATTGGCATGTCAAATCGCTTGGAACACATGAAACATGCCGAATGAAAAAAACACATCGTTCACCATGTCACCCTTGTGCTTGCCGATGAGCTGCACAAACCTTGTGGCCCCGCATGGCCCCGCAGCTCTGGCGCCAGAATCCTTGGCCTTGCAGACCCAACCGCCCTTCGTAACACAAGATTCCTTGAGCTTGAGCTCCCAAGGTGAGATGCTGCTCAAGATCAAGCCACAGTCCGCCTTCCCCCAGAAGGCACCCTGCGTTACTTCGAACGTCTGTGTGTCAATTGGATGAGGGAATTCATTGAATTCTCCCGTTCAGAAAAAGTGACTGTAGTGAAGAGTTCTGAAAACATGAGTTAATGGATGGTAATTCCCCCAACTACGGCAATAATAGTTTTTTATTATCCCATCACCATATGATATTCCATCTTTGGCGAAGCTTTGATATCCCTCGCAGAAATAATTCATGTCATGACTGTCAGATCTGAACTATTGATCCATGAAAAGTGACTGAGCAGTGAAAAACCCCGAACCCCAAACCATTCGCTGAGGTAAAAAAAAAATCTTTCATTCAGGCAATAAGGCTCGCTGGTGGTTGCTGGTCATGTGAGCCCTGGTTCAAAAATATGAGTTGGAATCATAGTTCGCATCCCGACAATATATGATCCGCATATTCATATGGGGGTTTGTTATAAATATAAATTGGGGATCCCCGAGCCACCATGGGTTTCAATACTAAAATGGTCTAACGACTTGGTTTACATTTATTCATTGCTATACATTGTAAATCAATAAATCAAACCCACCATGATAACTACAGTTATGAAAAACCGAGCCAGCTACACATTGGAAATTGTTAAAATATTTTTTTTTCATTTTTGTTATCGTTTTGGTTATCATTTTATTTATCATTTTATTTATCATTTTTATTCATTTATGTTTTCATTCATTTTTTTTAATCATTTTATTTTTCATTTTTTTATCATTTTTTTTATCATTTTATTTTTCATTTTTTTCATTTTTTTTCATTTTTTTTCATTTTTGTATAATTTTTCATCATTTTTGCTTCCAATGGTGCAAAAATTTTCCGAAAAATAAAAAAAATGCAATTTTCCTCGAGTTTTTTCATTTTTTGTCATTTTTTTTTCATTTTGTTCTCATTTTTTTCATTTTTTTCATTTTTTTATCATTTTTTTATCATTTTTCATCATTTTTGCTTCCAGTGGTGCAAAAATTTTCCGAAAAATAAAAAATTGCAATTTTCCTTGAGTTTTTTTCATTTTTTTATCATTTTTTTATCATTTTTGCTTCCAGTGGTGGAATTGATGAAAAATGATGAAAAATGATGAAAAATGAAAAAAAACTGAAAAAAATGAAAAAAAAATGAAAAAAAAAATGAGAGGAAAATTGCAATTTTCCAAAAAATGAAAAATTGCAATTTTCCTCGAGTTTTTTTTATTTTTTTTTCATTTTTTTTTCATTTTGTTTCATTTTTTTATCATTTTTCATCATTTTTGCTTCCAGTGGTGCAAAATTTTTCCGAAAAATAAAAAATTGCAATTTTCCTCGAGTTTTTTTCATTTTTTTATCATTTTTTTTAATCATTTTTTTATCATTTTTGCTTCCAGTGGTGGAATTGATGAAAAATGATGGAAAATGATAAAAAAATTATACAAAAATGAAAAAAAATGAAAAAAACAACTCGAGGAAAATTGCAATTTTCCAAAAAATGAAAAATTGCAATTTTCCTCGGGTTTTTTTTCATTTTTTTTTCATTTTTTTCATTTGTTTATCATTTTTTTTATTATTTTAAATCATATTTGCTTCCAGTGGTGCAAAAATTTTGCGAAAAATAAAAACATGCAATTTTCCTCGAGTTTTTTTCATTTTTTTCATTTTTTTATCATTTTTTTATCATTTTTTATCATGTTTTATCATTTTTCATCATTTTTTATCATGTTTCATCAATTCCACCACCGGAAGCAAAAATGATAAAAAAATGATAAAAAAATGAAAAAAACTCGAGGAAAATTGCAATTTTCCATTTTTTGGATTTTTTTTTGCACCACTGGAAGAAAAAATAATTAAAAAAATGATAAAAAAATGATAAAAAAATGAAAAATAAAATGATAAAAAAATGATAAAAAATGATAAATAAAATGATTAAAAAAAAATGAATGAAAACATAAATGAAAAAAAAAGATAAATAAAATGATAACCAAAACGATAAAAAAATGAAAAAAAAATATTTTGACCTGGCCCAGTCTGTGGCTGCAAGTTTTTCATAAAACTACAGAATAACTCCATCATCTCACAACAACCAGGGTAACCAGAGATCACGACGCAGCTTAGGAGCGAATCTACCCACTCGTACGCATCCTGGCAGGTGTTCATCGCTAGACGGCTTGAACCCAACTGGACTGGAACATGGATATTTTGGGGATGGGTCAAAACATGTCAAAACCTATTACCATCTCGTTATTTAACATAGCCATGGAAAATCACCATTTTTAATCGGTAAACCATCTATAAATGGGTCATTTCCCATGGCTATGTTAAATAACCAGAGGGTATTGCCATATTTGGAGGAACCGTCCAATAACCAGCGAATCATTTGGGTACAGTACCCAGGGTACCAATGTAGTACCAGGGTTTTGACTCATAACCAGATGTTTGAGCGCAGAATGGGGAGATCAATCATACACTGAGTATGGCCCAATGATTGTAAACATCATCCCATTGCTCGCCTAAGCTCGCTGTTCTTCATCCTGATTTTTCTTGCTCGAATGTTCCAGTTCATGCTAAATCCTAGATAACCTCTGGTAATTAAACAGTTTGCTATGGCCCATACATGGCCCATTTAGTTCAATGAGTTACAGTACCTTGTGTTTTAATGGTTACCCTCTGGTAAACATACATCTATAGCTAATGAAAATGGCCATTTATAGTTGATTTACCCAGCTATAAAATGGTGATTTTCCAGTTCGGTATGTGACAGTTTACCAGAAGGTACCAGAGCGTACAGGCAGCCTCCACAAGAATGTATATAATGCTCAGCTGGATTGGTTCATCTATCAAGATGCCAATAAGAAAGAGCCAGTACTTGGAGGATCATCCCACTTGGTAACTGGTTCGTAATCCTTTTTGTTAAGTCCACAAACTAGGTTTATACCATATAAATATATATATATATGAGTGGGTTATAACCCCAGGTACTTACCAGTTATGATCTCTGGGAAGATCCTCCAAGTAGAAAACAGCTTGGCGCTTAGCCGTCTGGTTCATGGGTCAAGGGTTCCAAGTTCATGGGTCAATTCATAATCTGCCAAAAAAACAACTAGTATAAACCAACAAGTAGAAATCCACCACCATTTCTGCATATGGTTATGGGTCAAAACCCTGTTACTACCTGATAAACACCAGATAGATCAAAATAGTTGGTTTTTCATGCGATTATTAGCCCATCCCCATATGATATTGCATCTGTTGTGGTTCGACGGTTCGACCTCCTGAGAAAACCATGACTTGGCAATGAACTTTCCGGTCAAAATGAGCAGTGGTCAAACCCCGCAGCGTCGTTTCATTATACTATACTATACCGGTTGGTTAAGAACATGAGTCCCAGTTCATGCATAGTGCAAATCCCCGATGTATTATATTATATATATAATTAATTAATTAATTTAATTAATTAATTAATTGATTTATTAATGGATTAATTCATGAATTATGAATATATATAAAATAATATAATATAACATAATATAATATAATATAATAGAATATAATATGCTATGATATAATATGATATAATATAAAATAATCTAATCTAATATAATATTAATATAATATAATACAATATAATATAATATTAATATAATATAATACAATATAATATAATATTAATATAATATAATACAAAATAATACAGTATAGTATGATATAATATAATATAATATAATACAAACTAATATAATATGATATTATACAATCTAATATAATATAATAATATATAATATAATATGATATAATACATTTTAAAATAAAATGATAAAATATGATCTAATATGATACAATATAATATAATATAAAATCATATAATATAATATAATATAACATAATATAATATGATTTAATACGATATAATATAACATAATATGATACAATATAATATATTGTAATATAATAAGATATGATATAATATGATATAATATAAAATATTGTAATATAATATAATTTGATATAATATGATATAAAAAATATAATATGATATGCTGATATGGTATGATATAATATAATATAATATACTAAAATATACAATATAATATATATATATAATTATATAAACTGGATAGGATATCCCCCGAACGACTCATCAACCAGGACTTTTGAAAACTCTTGGATGACCTTTCGTCAGGCGTGGTCGTCCCGTGCCCGCCTGGATCTGCTTCCTTTTCATCAGTCTGGCCTGACGTTCGGATCGCTTGGGATCTACCATCTAGTTATTTGTTACATAGCCATGGAAAATCCCTTATACATGGAGGTATTAATAGGAAAATCATCTATAAATGGGCCATTTTCCATGGCTATGTTAAATAACCAGAGGGTAATTGGAAGGTTTTGTTGGGCGTTTTTTGTTCTTCGGGCTGGTAAAAATGGACAGTTTCACAGAACATGATGGTCTTGATAAATATCGAGATATCCCGTGGGGAAGCGTGGCACTCAACCAGTGCCAAGCGCGCACCTTGCAAATTTTGACAAAGGAACCCAACAAATTGGAACAGCTTTCGATTTTGCCTTCGAGGGAACATTTTCTCCAGGAACATTCAAAAAAATTGGTCAAATCACCACACCGGTTGATCGATTCCCTACTATGGGTTATGATAATCCCAATAAGGTAGTACAACTCTGAACAAGCAGTGAGCCAGGAATTCACGATCATTCGTCACCAACTGTCTTAGATTCTTTCTTGGGATATGACATGTACATGTTCCGATTCCTCAAGAACTATCTGTTGATTGGAAGTGAATATACATAAGCATAATTCAGTATATATCATATTGGTTTGTAACTCTCCCCATCAAACCAAATATAGAATTTCCATGAATTTTCAATCTTCTCTGTTAACTCGTCCAGGCTCATACTTGTAGCAAGCGACTGCCAAAAACAGAGATCCCTCAAAATCTCTGCCACATCACTCGTTGCAATAGTCTCACAGACTGATTGGACGTTCTGCCCACCATCACCCCTGGAGACCACTCTCACTCGATCCTCCAAACGAGGCGGCTGTCCCCAGTTCTTGGACGGGTTTCCAGAAATGGTGGTTGTCCCCAGGTTCTAGGTGCTTGACGCACGGCCACTGTACTAGGATCACCCCCGTGTGCAGGAGACGGGCTGTCAATTCCAGGGTCATTCTGGGTGGCATCGAAGCACCTCTTGATTGCTCGGCGCAGGCATGCAACCTGAGGAGAAAAAGGTTGAAACTCGGATCCAGCGGATGAAGGTGTGAGAAATTTCACAAAATCTTCCAGGGCATCGGCTTTTGGGACTGCATAGCCCAACAGCGCAATAGTGGTGTAGCCCTGTGATACAATGTGCTCAGTAACCTGTGAGGACACTCCAGATTCATCTAGAAGTCGTCGCAATGCAGCTGGAACTGGTTTTGACATGAGCTCCTCACCCGCAACAACCCCCCGAAAAACGTGACGAGTGTTGTAGGACCAAATTGTAAATCCAATGAGACAAAGTTGCAAACGAAGCAGTAAATTGCTGATGCTCAGTTGATGCAGGTAATGGTCGGAAAGTACGCGTCAATGGACTCAAAGTCGGTTTCCAGAAAATCCAAATAAATATGGCCAGGACACTACCAAACAAAAATCCACTGAACAAATTGTACGTTCGGACTGGCAAAGAACCAGCTTCTAAAGCTTAAAAAATTCAAACCAGTGTGCTAGGACCCAAAATATTTTTTGCAATTTCAGATATTTCAGATGACAATCACATATAGCCTGCAACAACTTAACACATCAAAACATGATAAAACAATAGCATCAATCGGAAGGTAAGTTTAACCCAAGCTTGAAAGCATTGCTTGGATTTGTTGATTCGGGGCGAAACATCAAACATTTTTCCTCTGGTGGAATGTCAACAGTTTGCCATTGAAGCCATGGCCAAAAAAAGAAAGCCATACGATTTACCCAGCTAAACAATGGTGATTTTACCATGAAAAATGGTGGATTTCCCGGGTATGTTATAGTCATCCAACTCTGGTCAAAGTTGCTTATCCCAATGTATCCCTGGTAATATCCCCCATATCTATATCTATAATATCTGTAATATATATATATATATTATAGTTGATTCATCTCCCTATGATAGTTGGTTGATCTAGTCCAACTAAATTGAACATGAATCACCATCTCATCTACGCCGTGCTGCGTAGTGCACCAACTTCTTAAAGCTGATACGAATCTCCTTCGATGCGCTGCGGTCGAGCTTGGGATTGTGCCAGATACACACGGGCATCATGAGATGGGATACCATTGGACCATCCATGTACCTATCCATCCAACTATCGAATTATCCATCGAACATCATCTAATTAATTATCTAGTTATCTACAAATTATCACAAACAAACAGAAACATCTTATAAATAACTTATAAACAAGTTTCTTTTGGAACTACGAAAATGCATTAAATGCATTCACCAAAAAAAACGGTATTTGTTTGGTTGTCCTTCTCCGTGAACGCGAGGACATCCTGATCTTTGTCTCCAAAGATGGGTTCCTGCCATTGGCGCACCGGAGAAGTGGAAGTGGTGACGACGGGACGATATTGGTGAATTCACCATTAAAATGTCTGTCCCCAAAGGTACGATATCTTTGGGGCTGAATGCGTCCGTGTCTGCCGTGATCCGGCCATGGGACCAAACAATGGAGTGAGGATGAGTGCGTGGTGAATCAAGAATGAGATACGTTTACCCTCTGGTCATTCAGATTTTCATGGGGATAAAAGAATGTCATAAACCACTCATGACTGGGAATGGTAACCCTACCACTTATTGATGGTGAAATTGGGGGTCGTTTATGACATTGTTTTTCCAACATCTAATTTAGTCTATAGCTATGGGCTATTTAGTATATAATTATGGGCCTATGGATGCATGTGGGTTGCAACCACTTATCATTTGTACATAGTCTTTAGGTGACCCGTTGAAGGCTCTGGTTTTCGCTCAATTTGATCCAACTTGCCATGCTCTGTCGCTACATGGGATTGATGACCAACCCTTCATGGCTGAGCATCTACCCTCTGGTAATTTGTTACATTGAAAAATTACCATAGAAATAGTTGATTTACCCATTCAAAATGGTGATTTTCCATAGTTTTGTGACAGTTTACCAGAGGGTAACCCAACGGTACTGACAATGCGTAGATCAAGTTGAAAAAAATTGCCGTTTGAATCCACAATTATGTGTGTGTGTGGCTGCAGCTGTTGATGAGATTCACATATTGTTGTTACTGACATTCCCGTTCACTGCAATTCTGAGTGTTGCTGGTCTAATCCAATGTTTCAAGGTGAAAATATCTGCTCCCAACATCCCAAATAGAGGGGGTTCAATGGCTAGATGAAGATGAGAAAAGGCGAGCTATCACTGAAAAACATATCAATGCGTTGGAGCAACCCTGATTTCTGCAGGTATTTGCTTCTCCCCAGTCAGCAAGTGGGTGCGATCACCTCAATTGTTTCAGCAGGGTCAGTAGGCAAGTACCCTCTGGTAAACTAACATAGCTATTGAAAATGGCCATTTATAGTCGATTTACCCATCAAAAATGGTGATTTTCCATAGCTATGTGACAGTTTATCAGAGGGTAAGTGCCATTTCCAGTTATGATTCATGGGGTGAACTGACCGTCGCTGATGATTCCTGGAGTGAGACATCAGCTAGACAAGCAACCAGCTATTTCCTGGTTAATCGCCAACAATTCGAGATTTTCATTTGGGATTTGGTGGGTGTATATCCAACATTATTTGGGGAAACCAACCATGATATATAGGATTCTATGGGGATATGTGAGTTAAACAAGGTTAAAATCACATAGCATTGTATGTATTGTAACATGGTGATCTCCCCATAGTTTCAGCAACCAAGTATCCCCATTATATCCTATACAGCATATGTCCCCATAGGTGATCAATCTGCATTTAAATCTCTATTGAACAAGCCATTTCTTGGTAAAATACACATGTTTTCATGCTGAATCTTAGATACCAGTACCTGCCAAAGAAACATAGCTAGTTCGTAGATTTTACCATTGATAGCAGAAGATAAACATATAATAATAACTATTCACTACAACTTTTAACTATAAGCATAAATCAACGGTGGCTATTCGCTGCAACCATAGTAGGGATTTCAACGTATCATATTTTGAAAATAACATGTTAGATTGTAGATAAATCGGAAACATGTTACTTGGTGCCTCATCCCACTTAGTAAAATGGCTTAGTTCACCCCAGTTCAAGTGGATGAAACCTACAAAAATCCTCATTTTTCACTGGGGTGTTTCACTAACCCACTTACGAGCCATAGGATGAACCATCAAGTGTAACCTCTGGTAAACGTTTACATAACTATGGAAAATCACCATTTTTAATGGGTGGATATACTATACACTATATTACTAAAATCCCAAAAATACTACAATATTATATTGGTATTTATATCCCAAAATACAAAACTCCGATTTCTCTCATTCGCCGCCTGCCTCTTTGGAATCGCTACGTCTGGGCCACAGGTGTCGCTTGGCACGTACTGCGGCCTGGACGGTGGAGTTCAGGAGAATGGGACGTGTCTTGGGATATTCTCATTAGCATAGAATTTATGGCATACGGTGATTAATGGGATATTAATGGGATAATTGGATATTTATTAGCATAGAATTTCTTAGGGTAATTAATGCGATATTCTTGAGATTTTATGGTGATTAATGGGATATTCATGGCATATGAACGGTAATTCCTGGGTTATGTCGTGATGAAACGGCTATGAATGTGGTCCAATAGCCAGCAATAGTGAGATATCAATGACATGGCGCTAAATGGGATATGCAACCAAAAGGGTGGGTTATCATACCCAAAAGGCGGGTTATCATACCCAAAAGGGTAGGTTATCATGCCCAAAAGGTGGGTTATCACACCCAAAAGGGTGGATTACCATACCATTCCCATCGAACCAACCCACACCACCGCCGGCAGGAAACTACAGCGCCAGCTGTCTTCCTTGTGAGAGCCATTCTGACCAGGGCAGTGAAGACACGGTGTCATGTAGATCATGTAGGCCAAGCCCCTTTGAACCCCATCAAGTGATGAATTCCAGGGAAGATTGAGGCCCGAACATTGGAGCGTGCTGATATATGGGGCCTGCAATGACCAAATGTGAAAGCCGGACCAAGCAGGAGAGATCACTGCCCCTGATGCAATGGAATAGTAAGGGTCCGTCATGCAGGTGGATGAAGGTCATGAGTTCTTTGAACCTTAGATCACCTGCTCCTCACTCTCCTCTTTCGGCAACCAGCCAGGGAAGAAGGCCATTCCATTGAAACCAGCTGGCCTGGAATGTTCAATCCTGAAGGGCAAGATAGATAGATAGATAGATAGATAGATAGATAGATGGATGGATGGATGGATAGATGGATAGATGGATAGATGGATAGATGGATGGATGGATGGATGTATAGATAGACAAATAGATAGACAAATAGATAGACAAATAGATAGACAAATAGATAGACAAATAGATAGACAAATAGATAGATAGATAGATGGATGGATGATGGATGGATAGATATTTAATATGACATCTAAATATGATATCTAAACATTTAACCAATTGTCGGTTTTTTCATTGATCCTTCTTCACGTCAGTATGTGCCAAAAAATGACTCCCGTAATACCAAGGAACTCCATCATCCTCAGAACATGAAATCGAAATTAACATCTAAATTAAATCATTAATAATATTATATCATATTAGGTGAAATTCCTCAGTTCAAAGATGTTTCTGTTAAACAACACGAACTGTTTTTCTCAGAGTAGCTCAGTAAATAATGTGTTTTTTCCGCATTTTTCAACATGCTGATGTATGACCGGAGGGACATCAAGTCAGACCGAATGGTGATCTCAATGGCTGATGGGATAGCTGGCGACTGGCTATGGGATATTAATCATCCCAATCCATTGCACTGTTGAAATTGATGATCAAACATCCAAATGGAAGTTTCCTGAAATTGGGGTACCCCCAAATCATCAATTTCAGCAGGATTTTCCGTTATGAACCAACCATTTTGGGGATTCCCCATGTATGGAAACCCCCAACAATAACGGCTGTTCCCCAGAGTTTCAGACAAAACGAAACCATTTTCACCTGTAAAAATTGGACTCAACGAGCCCTGCGACCAAATCAACAAGATTGACATTGAACATCTGTAAGCATATTTGGGTATCGGGATTTTGGGATTTTAGCATGGTTGATCATCTAGAAATGATCGTTGACTGTGTTTCGAAATTGAGTTTTCTCCGGTTTCATCATTAGAGAATTAGAATCCGCAAGCCGAACTACCATTTATTGACGATTTTTCCATTAAAACCTACATTTATAGGGGATGTCACAGCTAGCCACGTTTGATTATTCCAAAGGTCAAATCCCTTTGAGTAATGTTGACCCTTGGATTGTATGCACATGGATCTGACTGCAAAAACATGAGTTCAACAATTGAAATCTGCAAAACAAAAGGAATCACAAACAAAGGAGTAATTAGATACGAATGGTGATATGCGCCATCAACCATAGCTGCACATCCACCTACAAAAACTTGGATTTCAGCGACAGTGGATTCAAGCGATTTCTTGAAATGGGGAGCCCCAAATTCATCCAAACTTGACAATTTACAATAGGGAAACCACTGGGCCACTGCTTTTAACATGTTTTCAACAGGCAGGTGGGCTCAAAGATCGGAATTGATCATCATTCTCCAAGGCAGTCCTATGGTGATGTCACCATAGGCCACCAAAAAAATCCTTCACCTTTTTGTGGGAGAATTCACGTAATTGTTTTTTCCACATTTGCGGATGAATGCCATATGTTGCACGGTTGGTTACCCGATTTGCTACGGAAAAATGCTCTTTTTTCCCGAATGCGTAGCAAGGGTTCCCGTTTCACTCTGGGGGTCTGGGGGTTGAGGGTGTGTTCGCTCGACGTTGCGTTTGTGGTCGCAACCGCCCGCAACCGTTCGCAACCGTTCGTGTGAGGACCGTATGGCCGTGCCTATGGGAAGTTTTGCAGAGGCGGTCCTTTTTGGAGGTTTCAGACGTCTGGTTGCTTCGTTTCGCGTGGCACTTCGTGACATTCAGACGTGTTCTGCAACGTGTCGAAAGTCGTTTTGCGTGGCAGGCGCAATACTTTTGCGACGTTTTCAGAAAAGATGTGTTGCAGTTTTCGTGGCAGGCGCAGCGCTTTGGACGTGTCCATCGTCATTTTTCGTGGCAGGCGCAGCACTTTAGACGTGTCGTGTTGCGTGTTTTTTGCAAATCGCATTGGCAGGGCTGCGTTAAATGGCGACAAGGTGCAAATTCCGTGGCAGGCGTGGCGTTTTGTGACATGTGCTGAAAATTGACGGAAGCTTTGCACGAAACATCGATTTTGAGGTTGCAAATTTTCAGGTTCTAAGGATCGATTTTGAAGCTACAAAGTGTGAAAAGTGGAGGAAGTCTCGCACGAAATGCTCGTTTTGGTGCTCGTACGTGTCTCGTCTCAAGTCTCTGGTTATCCCGTGGCTTCGCCGTGTCTATGGGGGAAGCTGCAATTGTCATGTTGCCAACTTTGAAAAATGCCGGAAGTCTCGTACAAAATGCTGGTTTTTCTGCATCCACGTGTCTTGTCTCGAGTCGCTGGTTTTCCTGTGGCGTCGCCGTGTCTATGGGGGAAGCTGGAAAACCTCTCCTCTTCGAATGTGTCCAAGCAAGTTGTCATGTCGTTTTGCGTGGCAGGCGTGGCACTTTGTGACATTCCAACCTGTTTGATAATGTGTCGCAAATGTCAAAATTGGAGGAAGTCTCGTACGAAATGCTGGTTTTTCTGCATCCACGCGTCTTGTCTCGAGTCGCTGGTTTTCCTGCGGCGTCGCCGTGCCTATGGGGGAAGCTGGAAAACATCTCCTATTCGAATGTGTCCAAGCAGGTTGTCATGTCGTTTTGCGTGGCAGGCGTGGCACTTCGTGACATTCCAACCTGTTTGATAACGTGTCGAAAATATCAAAATTGGAGGAAGTCTCGCACGAAATGTTTGTTTTGGTGCTCCCACGTGTCTCGTCTCGAGTCTCTGGTTTTCCTGTGGCATCGCCGTGTCTATGGGGGAAGCTCCGCACTCCACACTCTACACTTTACACTCCACAATTTACACTTTAGACTCCACACTCTGAACTTTACACTCCACACTTTACACTTTGCACTTTACACTCCTCACTCCTCACCTGAACTTTACACTCCACACTCCACACTTTACACTACACTCTACACTTTCCACTCCTTGCTCCTCACTCTACACTTTACACTCCACACTCTACACTTTACACTCCACACTCCACACTTTACACTACACACTCCTTACTTTACACTCCACACTTCACACTCCACACTTTCCACTCCACACTCCACACTTTACACTCCACACTCCACACTGTACACTCCTCACTCCACACTTTACACTCGTCGCTTTACACTCTACACTCCACACTCTACACTTTACACTCTACACTCTACACTTTACACTCTACACTCCACACTCCACACTCTACACTTTACACTACACTCCACGCTTTACATTTCACACTACACACTCCACACTCTACACACCACACTGTACACTTTCCACTCCACATTTCACACTCCACACTCTACACTTTACACTCCACACTCCACACTTTACACTTTACACCCCTCACTCCACACTCTACACTCCACACTCCCCACTTTACACTCCACATTCCACACTCTACACTTTCCACTCCACGCTCCGCACTCCACACTCCACACTTTACTGTACACTCCACACTCCACAGTTTATACTTTACACTCCTCACTCCTCACTCCACACTTTACACTCCTCACTTTACACTTCACACTCCACACTCTACACACCACACTCTACACTTTCCACTCCAGACTCCACACTCTACACTTTACGCTCCACACTCCACACTTTACACTCCAGACTTTACACTCCACACTCCACACTTTACACTCCTCACTCCACACTCCACACTTTACACTCCACACTCCACACTTTACACTCCTCACTCCACACTCCTCACTTTACACTCCTCACTCCACACTCCACACTTTACACTCCACACTCCACACTTGCCACTCCACACTCCACACTTTACACTCCACACTTTACACTCCTCACTCCACACTTTACACTCCACACTTTACACTCCACACTCCACATTCTAGACTTTACACTCCACACTTTACACTCCACACTCTACACTTTACACTCTACACTAAACACTCTACACTCCACACTTTACACTTTACACTCAACGCTTTCCACTTTACACTCCTCACTCCACACTACACTCCACACTTTACACTCCACACTCTACACTTTACACTCCACACTCCACACTTTACACTCTACACTCCACACTCTACACACCACACTCTACACTTTCCACTCCACACTCCACACGCTACACTCTACACTCCACACTCTACACTTTTACACTCTACACTTTACACTCTACACTTCACACTCTACAATTTACAAACTCCACACTCCTCACTCCACACTCTACACTCCACACTTTACACTCCACACTCCTCACTCCACACTTTACACTCCTCACTTTACACTCCACACTCCACACTCCACACTTTGCACTTTACACTCCTCACTCCACACTGCACACTCTACACTCCACACTCCACACTCTACGCTCCACACTCTACACTTTACACTCCATACTCCACACTCTACACTTATACTCCGCATTCTACACTTTACACACTCTACACTCCCCACTCTACACTTTACACTCCACACTCCTTACTTTACACTCCACACTCCACACTCTACACTTTCCACTCCACACTGCAGACTGGTAACAAGGGAACATGTACAAGACTGTTCAAATAAACTATTGCAGAAAGGTATTGTGCGTGACTGCATAACCATGTATATTGACATCTGTACCATTAACATACGTGTGAGCATTCGGGTTCGTGGGCTTCATCTTGTTTCTGCTTGTTGATAGCCAAAGCATCATTCTGGCTGCGTCAAAGCCAATTTCTCCTGGTTCAATTACAATTGTAGTGTGCTAAACTCCTCAAAACCGCCCGACCCTATTGTAATTCATCATTTACAGTAGTAGATAAATCAACGAAATCAATGGACCATCTAAACCATAGCAAACTGTAGTTATTTCCAGAAGGTAAATCCCATGATGTTTGTTGGTTAAATCCCCACTAATCATCATGAAACCCCGTTAAGTCCCAATTAATCCCATTACATCACAATTAAATTACATCCCGAATATATAGTGGCAATTCGCAGTGTATCATCATTATGATTGGATTTATACCCCAATGTGTGTGTGTGTTGGCTAAATCCGAATAGTTCCAAACCACTACCAGGTATCCACAATACTTGCTATGTAACGCTTGAGCAATGTTCAAAATCCCTCATTCTATTGGTTAATAAGGATTTCCTATTGGATTTTTAAAATCATTTGAAAATCCCCCATATATTGGGTAGTATAATCCCCGAACTAATCATTACCCTCTGGATCCCTCTGGTAAACTAATCGTTAGCGAACTGGAAAATCACCATCTAATAGCTAAATCAACGATTTCTATGGGCCATAGCTATGTAACAAATTACCAGAGGGTAACCAACAGGGTTTTGAACACTCAAACATAGGTACTGTACCATATAAGACTCATATAAGGCCATATTTCGCTGGGATATTCCCTGAAACTAAGGCCTTTTATATGGTAGATACCTCAAATAAATCGGTTCCTGAGTCATTGCCATTGATGAGGCCTGGATGAACTAATTATGGCAATCCCATCACCAGCATGAACCAATTAAGGGACGATCCCCCAAGTCGGATCCCACCGTTTCTGAGTTACGCCCATGTTTCCCATGAATATCCCGATTGGAATCACCATTCATATCTTCATTGATCACCATAAAATTCCCATTCATTTCAATATAACCTCCCCATGAATATCCCACAAATCACCATTTCCCCAAAACAAAAACACCATAAAATCATCATAAAATCACCATTAAAGCCCAAAAGTTCTTAAGCCAACATCTTTTTTCCTCCGTGACAGGGCCTGGCGCTGCCGGACCAAGCGCACACGCCAGGGAAACCAGTGCTTCCTGGCGTGAGCGGCTTGAGACGGTGCTGGTAGCAGCGACGCATGATGGTTTAACCAGGGTTTCACCAAATGATGGGTTTAACTTAAGATGGTGAACTAAAATGGGCTAAACCACATTAACAAACTATCAAGCATGGTGGATTCATGGTGGTTTAAGTATGAAAAGCGGTGATTTAACTATTGAGGTCCTTATGGCAATGGTGATGTAGTAAACATGATGGACACCTCAAACCACATAAGTGCCCTCTGGGAATCAAATAAGGTAATCTGATGTCAGATCTGCAGCTAAATAGCCAGTTTTCAAATGGGCTTGTGAATATCAACAAGATAGTTCATCAGTTTTCAAACACCAACAGCTAGAGGCAAATCCACGAGCCAAATCCATGTGCATAAAATCATATAAATACAAACCCAATGGGGGTTTGAAGCAACATAGGGGTAAGTAACGAAGTGAAAAATCCGTTTCCATCTCAACGCCAGCAAATTCTAGGGGGTTATCCAGTTTTTCACTGTGCATGGTTGTTGTGGGGACCATAGACATCACCAATGCGTAGTCTCGCTGATCAGCTGCAGCGTTGATCTCTACCACTTCGAATTCCAATGGCTGAGGCCCTTCTGGGCTCCTCAGAAAGACCAGTCGCCTAATTGTGGGCCACCCCAGTTATAACTGGCTCATAACCCCTATGAATTACCTAGTTCGATCTATCCTGGTATATCTACCATAGACCCTTTTGGACCGTGTTTCCGTGCCCTGGAGTTTGATGGTGCTGGGATCATCTGTAACATGGGCTGGTCAGGAGTTCTTGCTGGGCTAAAACATGCTGAAACCCCAGATTTCAGTGATAAATACCCTCTGGTTATGTCAAAATAGCTATTGAGCAGTGTCATTTACTTCGATGATTTACCTATTCAAGATGGTGATATTCCGTGATTTTTCTATCGCTATCTTATGCTACCAAAAGGGTGAATTATGACCCTGACTGACTTTGATCATCACCATCATCATTGTGACACTAATGATTGTTCACAAGTTCGGGAGAAAAAACACTGGTAGGTTAGTTTGGATAGTTTACGGTTTATATGGCTTTGTTTGACAATGGGACACCATAATTTCTGCACTTGTCCACATGTTTCCATTAAACAACTGCCATTTTTGGATCCCAAAAAGCAACCCCCAGGCTTAGATCCCCCCTTCCAACCGACCACAAGTCCACCAAACCTGGGGAAGTAAAAGGTCCGAATACCCTCGAAGGCGCCAAAAGCCTGCACGGCTCCATTGTTGCACGTCAGTGGTGTGCGATGTATCCATGCAAAGTGGGGCCCGAACTAAATGGTCATTTAAATCATTTAAATGAACAAATCATCGAACTAAATGGTGAAATTATTCTGATATCTGATATATCTACCATGACCCCGAGTCATTGGGATTATTTGCACAAATTTAGCTATCGTAAACGGGGTACCCATCCTGTATATGCGGTAAATCAGGGGGTTATTCATGGCAATTCAGCAGTATCTTCGGATTATTGTAGCACATCCCTGATCCGCAAGGCCTTCTTGTCTAGTTTGCCTTGGAGTCCTGTCGTTCCAACATGTTCCAACCGTATGTTTACCAAGCTGGCTCCAACCGACGAAACTAAGCTGGGTTAAATCAGCAGGCGATTTTATCTGCTCACTAAGACACGGTGATGCGTGACCAAAGAAAGATTGAAGAATGATGAAATTGACTACCTGGTGATCATCCCACTTACTAAGTAGATCTAAGTAGGTTATATCCCTGGTAAAAAAGTGGGATAAGTATGGTGAATCCACTTATTGAGGATAGTTTGGAATTCAAATCAGCAAATTTCAGCAGCATCTCCGAGCTTCTCTTGCCCTGGAAGTACAGGATGGGCCCCCCCAGTTATAAGTTGGTTGATAACCCCATCTAAATATAGTGATGAGTATCATACACTATTGCTATTATAGTTGTAAACAAACTTAGTTAACTATAGGGCCCTATCCTGCAGTACAAGTTTGTCTTCTAGTGCTGTTGGACATAGTTTGGTCTGACCTAGCCCTGCACGAGACAATGCCAAGACAAAGCTGGCTCCCTCAGGGTCAAGGTGCTGTTACTCACCTCCCATCATCTGTCCGAAACTGGGAGGTAGCCTCCAATTTATGGCACTTTTCGTTCGTAGGAATATCATGTTAACCGATGGACAATGGAATATGATATAGGGTACCCATGGGTACCCAATCTCCTCGGGCAAACCCATGTAACTGTTGACTGTGTCCTTACACTATAATAACATATCTAGCACATCAGCAAAAATTGTCTTGCTGCTTGAATCAGCTTTTGGGGAGGACCAGTCCAATTTATGTGTTCTGATTTACTACATTGACAGGTTTGTGGGAATTATTTAAGGTCATTGAATATTTCATAGTGATTCATAGTGTACATTCCGATGAGTGTTTAATTTAAACAGGCGGATCTAACAGGGCTTTGCTCAAAGAAGCCAGAATTATTTGAGCCATTTGAAAATAGCCCTATCCCATCTCATGAATGACTAAATGGTTGACAACGTTTTCCCAATCTTATGGCTTATCATAATCCCCAGTAAACCAGCTAGTCTAATACCTCCCGTGAGACAAGTCGAGTCAGGGTCATCCATTCCCTCGCAAAGTGTTCCGGAAGAAAATCCATAGTATTAACATTACTATGGTAGTATTAAAACTATGGGTTACCATTAGTTAATCAATGAACCTTAAGGTATTTTTAATGGCCATTAATGGCTCATTTAAGACATTTCTTCAGATTGGGCTTCTGGGTACAAAATCCATTGCTGGATTATGACGATTCGTCTGGCTACGGCTCAATCTACGGTAATGAGCCACGGCTAAGGATGTTCCTTTGAAGAAACACATAGTGAATTGACCCATTCTTCCAAGGTGAACTGATTAATTATTATTGTTGATCCATTTATTCACCGTATGAAAACATATGATAACAGCTATTTTCAGCTGCATTATGATAACTACCTGAAAATTGGTATCATACGGCCAGCTGTGGGGATGATTCCAAGAATACATTCACCATCATTCCAGTAACGGAAAACGACGTAAGGTCGGTCTTGTTGCTATACTAAGAATAATATTTAATATAGGTTTCCCTAATATGGGTTAGAGTAATTAGTAATATTAGTAATAATTTGTTACCATCTGGTTGTTTAACGTAGCCATGGAAAATCACCATTTTATAGCTAGGTAAACGATCTATTTCAATGGGCCAATTTCCATGGCTATGTTAGTCATAACCTGTTAATAGGTAAACTATCTATAAATGGGCCATCTATACCATGGCTATGTAACAAATAACCAGAGGGTAATTCCCAAAACGCTCGGCAGTATAAAGAACCAAACGTCATACACTTTGCAGGTCCAGCTCTTCTGCATTTTTTTGTATGGCTTAGTCCCAAAAATGAAACATAGCCTCTGGTAAACTAATAGTTAGTGAACTGGAAAATCACCATCTTTAATAGGTAAATTCGGTAAATCAACGAACTTTCTATGGGCCATGGCTTCAATAGCTATGTCATTTTCTATGTCGCTATGGCTTGACATAACCAGAGGCTACACCCCACTGCGGAATGGCGGAAATGATCAACCAGTGGATCCCTGCCACTCGACGCCTTTGAAGTAACTCGCTGCACTGACCTTGACCGAGATGGGATAGGCCACATGTGATAATTACTTCAAATGGGTGTGCACAATCAGTGTATAGGGCACTTAATAGTGCAAATAGTACCCCTATGAAAATATACACATGGAAAATACTGGTTATGTCAACATAGCTAGTGAAAAATTGCCATAGAAATAGTGGATTTACCCAGCTAGTAAATGGTGGATCTTTCCATAGTTATGTAAACGTTTACCAGAGGGTAGTTCAAATGGGTTTGCCTGAAAATAATGGTACCCCCCATATACACTGATGAATCATCATGTGCCCGACGAAAATTCCTCATATAACTGCTTATGTATCATATTGTTTGTTGTATCTCCCATTTATCCCCATTAATATACCACGAATATCCCATAACATATCATTAACTCCACAATTTTCCATATCCCATCAGTTATAAACATCCCTTTCAATATATCCTGTGAATATCGCATGAAACAAAGCGTCTTATTCAAGACCCCATGACATGTTAACCCAGTCATTGGGATGTCAGAGTACCATCGTTGGGTTTCAATGATAATCTACACGCTGGTGCCCCCAGTAATGTTTGTTGGTTTATAATCCCATCGACATATAGTTATTATAGCTGGTTGGTGGAATGAAGCAACGAGGCTGGCTAGGTCTTTGGCCCCATGTCCAAAGTGGTCCTGTCAAACGTGGACTTAAAACCAAGGGCAGTTTAATTGGGTGAGTACCCATCCTCATATAAACTGGTTGGTGGTTTTAACCATCTTGAAAAATATTGGTCAATGGGAAGGATTATCCCATATATTATGGAAAATAAAAAATGTTCCAAACCACCAACCAGTAAATCGATTGACATTTTTTTAGTTGCATATTGCATTATCACGAGGAAGTGGGGCGCAGGGTGGTTTATTAGTGCCGCTACCTCAGTCCGTCCCTGGGTCTTCCGAACAGCATCAGGGCGCGATTTTAGCGCCGCAAGGCTGTGATGGAATGAAGCAACGATAAGATTCACTGGTGAGCATAGTGCCACAGGGTTAGCCGCGGCAAAAAAAAACGGCAGAAGCAGGTTGATACCCTCTAGTAAACTAACATAACTATGGAACATCACATTTGTTTAAGGGAAAATTCACCATAAACGGCCATTTTCAATAGCTATGTTAAATGACCAGAGGGTAGTTTGCTCTTATCAGATTGATAGAACCAGGGACATGTGGTGGATTCTGATACCAGACTCTCCAGAGTCAGTAATACTGCCAATCAAAGTTGAAGGCAGGCACAATTAATTGTGGTGGGTGAACAACCGGGGAAAACAGGTTAAAACACACATCCAAATCTGCTGGTGAATTGGGGAAATTGAATTTGCTCCAAACTTGTCCTTGTAGAGTGAGTTTCTGCCTGCACTGAAAGCGTCTAGATGCGTGAGACTCTCATGACATGTCATAGAGATCAAACAAAGACGGAGGAACACTTTACATATTGGGTTCATGTCCAAATCTAGAGGAGACCTCTAGATACCCACCATCCCAAGGAACAATGCTGTGGAGATCCACTTCAGTTTTGGGATCGCCTGGAACCCACCACATGACCGTTGAGCACCGGCTGCTGTTTACTCTGAGTTATGACAAGCTTTCAAAGCTGCGAAAGCCAACAGCGTCGGCTGACAGCTACGGATATTGATGGAGCTGCTGTTGACCCCCCACAAATGTGCCAAATGAATTCAAATGATAGCTGGGGCAGAATAACATGAAGAAATCAAAAGTAAGGAAAACATGGTCAACCTTAGATACCCTGCAAACAATTCAATTCTTAGCTGGTTAGTAGATAGTCCCATTGATACCAAAAGATTAAAGATTATTTCCTACCCACCTAATATGAACCAATCAAACTGGTCAGTTAAGTAGCAAACATATAAATCTAGTAAATCCCATTAAACCCCTTTTAAATCCCTTTAAAATCCCTTTAATGGGATCCCACAGAAGACACAAATCCAACAGCGGAAAATCTGTGAGCTGGCAACCTATGATCATTCTATATTGGGGATCCCATTCATATACTGAGGCTGCAAATTGGCTCACAATTGTCTTGGTTGTTCTTATATATATAATATATATATATAATAAATATAATATATAATATATATATATATATATTATACACATATACACATATTTGCAAATACAGGTACAGTATACGGAATCCTGAGAAATGGTTTGGCACATGACCAATTTATCGCCAGTTGTATATCTCCCCATTAGACCAACTTATATGCCAATTATATCTCGCAAAAAAAACGCACCTAAATAAGCTATGAAATCGCAAGATTCAAAGGTTAAAGCACGATTTTTCATGGCTAAATGCACCATTAAACATACCCCTATGCCTATCCCATCTCATAAAACTATTCTAATTGGTGGTTTGAACCCCCCTGAAAAATATGAAAGTCAGTTGGGATGATTATTCCCAATATATTGGAAAAAAAATCATGTTCCAAACCACCAACCAGATTAGTTGGGTTTTCTAGGTTTCCTGATGTTTCCTGTTAACTATGGCTTATCCATATCAATTTCCAATAACCTTGGTAATATAACTATCAACAATCAATCAACCATCATTGATGATATCCCCGTGTGTTCCTTATAGAATCCCGCTGACTTGCTGGTTAGATAGTGAACCACAATCCGAAAAAAAAAACACCAATCTGTCAGATCATTCAAAAAATCCCCATATCGATGATAGTCAAGACTTCATAACCACCCAAAATCAAAGGAAAAATCCGTAAATCCCCAAAAAATCATGGAAACATCACCCATCTATCAACAGTGACCTGCAATGACTTGGTGAAATTGTGGCGTGATTCCCCAACTTATGGAGCTTGGTGAATCTATGTTACTGGTTGGTGGTTTTTCGCCCTACCCCTCGGAAAAATATGAGTGAGTAACAGTTGGGATGATGACATTCCCAATATATGGAAAGTCATAAAATTCCATGGTTCCAAACCACCAACCAGATATGAATCTGTAAAGTCGAAGAGTTGACGAGCTGGTGAGTCTGTACATTTCACCATTGACGAGTTATTTTCAATTATCTAACCAAGCTTCACCGAGTAATACAGATATAATATATATACAGATATACAATATAAACTTAGTAGAAACAATAATACCTAGTAGATAAGATCATATATATCTAATTAACCAAGGTTGACACAAACGGGGTGGCCTTGCGCATGACCACGCTTCCGGGGTGGCAGGCATCGATGATCTGACAATAGATGGCCTGGCGCCATCAAACCCTAGGTGCAGCCATGATAGCCAAGTCATAAATCTTGGTGCAATAATTCATTGACCTAAAATAAGATAAGTGAGGTTTTTTTGGGATAGTTGCCCCTTATCAATTATCATTCCAGTGAGGTCGGTATAGTTTTACCCATATTATATAATGGTTTAAACGTAATTAAACAATCAAACGTGAGGGACAATTCTGATTGAACAATACAACCTGGAGTGCAAACATGCTTTTATGGTAGATATGTCGAACTAGTTCATGGAATTATGAACCAATAAACATAACTGGGGGGGAACCATCTTGAAAGTGCAAGTGGGTCACAACCCCGGTATTTTTCATAGGATAAGTATAGGTTTGGTCCACTTATAAGTGGGGTTATAACTTATAGTTATAACATGTTGCAACGCACTTACTCATTGGGGTGAGCCACCAAGTAGTGATAAAAACACATGGTCAAAGCTAACACATGCAGGAAACAAAAGTGTTACACCGAAATATACGATCTTCATCGATCTAAGAATACATTGCAATGGTCCATTTTCCTTGGATGACTGGGGGTACCCCTCAACTTCGGAAAACCTCCAGATTTCATATGGGGGTTTCATCTGAATTGTTGGGCCATGGCTGGGGATGATTCCCTTTAACTACTAACCATTATTCCAGGCTTATTCCAGGGTTCGGTCGCAACATGATTTACCCAGACATCATGGAGGTTTCAAATTACTAGCACCCCGAAGTCGAAAAAGTCACTTCTGAAACCCATCCAAGGGATGAACTCTGGACATCACACTGAGGTAACCAGAGGTTATTTAACATAGCTATGGAAAATCACCATGTTTAATGGGAAAACTCACTATATATGGGCCATTTTCCATGGCTATGTTAAATTACCAGAGGGTAATGTTCGTAAAGCAATTCCGTATATGGATTGATAGTTTAGGATCCACCCTCCCAAATTGATGATGATTTTTGGGATGGATCCTATTGCTTTAAATTGCCTTACACGCAGTATGGATGTTCAACCAACGAAATGGATGACCTGAGTTGATTGACTCCAAGGGCCAACAGAAACCAATGTTTGTCTTGAGGAAATATGGCCCGGAAAAAACAAAATGTAAAAGATAAGTTGTCAAGCAAAAGGGCACATTTTCAGCATTGACGTGGCTATACTTTTAGATCCTTCGCAAATGAGCTGGCGATTACATTCATCTATGGCAAACTAATAAGCCATGAAGCTCAGCTAATCAACCAAGGTTAACGCTTTGATGGGTGCCACCAGTGTCATTGTGCAATTTGATTTTATGGCTGGTTCCGTTGGATTGTGGGTTCAATGGGTCCTATCCCATTTTGATCTAGAAGCTGAGGCCCCACAGTTATGTTTGTTGGTTTAGAACGATGGGATTGACGGATCATTTTCAGGATTACCCTCTGGCTATGACTAACATAGCCATGGTGTAGATGGCTCATTTATAGAGGTTTACCTAGCTATAAAATGGGTGGATCTTTCCATGGCTATGTTAAATAAGCAGATGGTAATTATATGTAATTATAATAATTAGAACTTCCCCTAATAATTTAATAAATGTTCATGAGAAAAACATCGAAATCCCATGGGTCCGAATGGGTCCCCCTATAAATTTCATGAGAGAAACCGGTTGGTTTCCTGTGGATTCTCCGACCTGCGATGGAGGAAATCTGGGCACCCGACGCCACTGGCACATTGCTCGACCTTCGATGGAGGTCCGATATCTGGTTGCTGGTTGACCCCAAAAATGTGATCGTCAATTTGGAGAATCCCCAAACCTCCCAAGTGAATGGTGGAAAATCAACAGAAAAAACATGAACACATGTTTGAAACCAAGCAGATATCTATATAGTTAATAACTACACCATGGTTTCTGGGCAGTGTTTCGTAATACGGGGGTGGGATTATTTGAGGATATGAACAACAAACCATGTTCTTGGCAATTTGGTATTCCCATGTCTTGTCCATTTCACCGACAAGAAACACAAATTGAAACCACGAGAGAGCAGTTCGCAATCGGCGAATGCTGAAAGGAGCGGACTAATTCTACACTGCTCCATTCTGATTGTTTTTGTTTGTTAAATGTAAGTGCCTTTACTTTGAAACTTGTGTATATGATGACCATCCTTACAAGTACATGCGGTAGGTGACCTGGCATCACATGATGAACATCTGCATGTGGACTTGGGGCCTGAACCATGAGATCCTATAAGTGTGCTTTTCAGTGAAATCTATCATCTAAACAGGAGGTGTGGATACATGTCATTTAAACAAAACAAAAAATAATTGCACGTACACAAGTAGCTGCTCCATATGTTCATGTGTGTGTGAAAGATATCACAACTTTTACAAATATTACATGTAGTCATCATGTATATAACGTATATACATACATATACATATACACACATATTTTTAAAAATAGAGATCTACACATAATGATACCCATTGTACATATATATATAATCATATACGTATTTATAACTGAATGTGTATTATAATGTATTATATATATATATATATATATATAGCTATGATACGCATTGGTTTTCTATGTTATATAACTGAATAATCAAATAACAATTATTATGATGATCAATATTATTAATATATATATATATTATATTATACTATAGTTAAACAG